ATAACTGTGGAATGTATTATATGCGTTCAGTGTGCTTAGTGCGAGTTTTTTAACGTTCTCTCTAAAAGTTAACTCAAATTTGTATGCAGTTGGGATAGCGTCCCTAGCAGCAAGCGTAGGCAAACGATCCAACTCTACTAAGCTCGCACTAAGCACGCCGATCACACTTTACTATGCGTGTCTTGGAAACGCCTTTATTTATTGAAACGGTCCACACACCAATGCCCCTGGTCGTAGATATGTTGGTAACTGAAACTTTCCCTGAAAGTGTTAACTGAGTCTAGTCTAGTCTAATATGTTCTAATCACTGGTGGTAGGACCTCTTGTGAGTCCGCACGGGTAGGTACCACCACCTTGCCTATTTCTGCTATGAAGCAGTAATACGTTTTGGTTTGAACGGTGGGGCAGCCGTTGTAACTATACTTGAGACCTTAGAACTTATATCAATCAAGGTGGGTGGCGCATTTAAGTTATAGATGTCTATGGGCTACAGTAACCACTTAACACCAGGTGGGCTGTGAGCTCGTCCGCTCATCCAAGCAATAAATAAACAAAAATTCAATCAATTGAGTGATACGCAAACACGTGGTAATCAATCAAATCAAATCAAATCAAAAAAAAAAAATCAACATAAATGAAAGTACATACTTGTTGAACGTCAAAAGAACTACCGCCAATTCACAAGAACTAGCCTCTGAGAAGAATTGGCAAGAAACTCAGCGGACATGTCTTTTTTTTTTAATATTAGATTATTTTTTTACTCAAACTAAAAATTATGAATAGAGTATGTACTATTTCATTAATTAAAAAAAAAAGGTGATTTCAATTTTATTCTAATAAATACATAAAATTATATGTTGCGAGAACTCGACTGCGTGTCTTAGACGTTGTTTCCTAAGATTTCATTTGTTTTTTTCTTTCACATCGCAACATTTTTTCAATTACACCGCGTCCTACACGCAAGTTGAATATTACATCTTACTACTTCACGTATTAAGGTTGCTAACACCTTTGATGATTAGGTACGTTCTCGACTCACTCAACAATAACGAATATAAGATACATTTACTCGTACGAGATAATCTGGGATTTATGGATTATTTTAAATTAATATGTCCTTTATCTTATGAGCGAACTAGCTGACCCGGCAGACAGATAAATAAAAGACCTAAACTTTTGTTTATAATTAACTTAAATCAAACGAAAGAAATTCGTCCGACGGGGGACACATCAAAGGAAAAACAAAATTGTTATTTTTACTTAATTCCGAGCATTTTCATATTTATCTACCTTTTAAACCATCTCTGGACTTCCACAAATAATTCAAGACAAAAATTAGCCAAATCGGTCCAGCAGTTCTCGAGTTTTAGCGAGACTAATGAACAGCAATTCATTTTTATATACATATCAAAATATATGAGCGAATTATGAGCATATTTAAGCCCACAGAAGCTACTTACTAGTAGCTTCTTTACTAACAAGCCATATATATAATTATAGTTCAACTACATCGGAGAATGCTCAGCTCCTCAACCGGTACAGCTTCCTCAAGGGTACACTTAAATGTCAAAGTGTTTACATGTTTTCTTAACAATGTTTTTAATATATAGAATGTTGATTAAGACTACTGTTACAATTTTATGTCGTGTTTATTTATTTCCGTACACAATTTCTGGCCTTTCTAGAACTATAGTTATCATGGTCACAGAAGACTCAGGTAAGGTTTGTTAAATACTACTAAAATAAATATGAAAGTTTGTATGTATGGATGTATGTTTGTCGCTCTTTCACGCCAAAACGACCGGTTAACTTTGATGAAACTTTACTGTAATATAGTTTACACATCACAATAACATATAGGCTATAATTTATAAAGATATAGTGTGAATTACTCAAAATATAAAGATAAGTGTCAAGTAAATAGGTGAAAATTTGCTATCTGCGAGTATTCTGACTACAAGTATTCTGGCGTGCGTTGCAAAATCCGTTGGACCTACACGTATATAATGTAAAATGGAAATGTTTATCTTAAATAGTCCTATAAAAAGGCCCGCGTCGGCATATATCTATTACGTGTAAGCCATTATTGTCAAAATAGTGAACCATTCATATAAGAAGAGCAAAGGTTAGATTAAATTCTGCTTTTATTGTGTTTTTTACTGTCAGGAATAGATTAGTATAATTTTTTTTTTTTATGATTGAAAGATTACTGGTGGCCCGGAGGCCTTTCCAGTTTCACCAGGACAGCTGGGCGAGAAAGGGCTCAACCAGGAGGGGTAGGATTTGCTAACAGCTGCCCGAGCGCCTCCGAAGGAAACCTAGCAACTCAAGAGCAATTGCTTCGCGAATGAATCTACTACCGGATCGGAATCGCGACCTGCTGAGAAGATCCAGTGAGAAACTCAGCGGGCTGATGCATGGGTTAGATTGCGCGTCGACCTCTTTGTCGAGTTCGATGAGTACGATCACCGGGGTCCCTAAGCCTGCTCCTAGTGTTAGAGCTGAAGACGTCAAGTATAAACATTCATTAAGATCGATAATAAATTACAGTTCCCGATGCGAAGAAAAGGCGGGTCGCTAGTTTATAATAAATTGGTAATGAATTTTGGGTTAACCACCGCCTAATGTGTTGAACTTCGTCTTACTGATGGTCTGCTGTAGGTAGACCCATTGCGTCAGCTGTTCCGCTATGAATGGTACAACCGCTACACCATTGAGGCTCCTGAGACGAACTCACTTTTACTGGTGGTAGGACCTCTTGTGAGTTCGCACGGGTAGGTACCACCACCCTGCCTATTTCTGCCGTGAAGCAGTAATGCGCTTAGGTTTGAAGGTTCTTAGGTTTGAAGGGTGGGGCAGCCGTTGTAACTATACTTGAGACCTTAGAACTTATATCTCAAGGTGGGTGGCGCATTTATGTTGTAGATATCTATGGGATTCAGTAACCACTTGACACCAGATGGGCTGTGAGCTCGTCCACCCATCTAAGCAATAAAAAAAAAGAAGCTCAAGTCTCTCGTTTACATTTCAATCTTCATAAGCTGCGGTAAGCGTAAAAAACCTGCCTAGCTTAATGAGGTCGTTCACATTCATTTAATGAATTTATTTCATTAAATTTGTTTGTTTATTGTATTTTTTGCCTACGTAATAAAACCTGTAGCGTTGTGGGCTATTCTGGTTTGCCTGGGTGTGTAGGTGAGCCCATGGACCTGAGATACTATTAAAATCTACCCTAGGGAGAGTAGTGCGTTACTGAATCTACCACCGGATCGGCATCGCGACTTATTGAGAATATCCGGCGAGGAACTTAGTGGGCTGTGTCTGCTTTTAACTAAACTCTAATTAGTATGCACATGTTAATACAAATCAAAATAGATTTTTTATATTGTTTTCGTACATGAGTCAATCTCAACTTAACTTTTTTTTTATTACCCTTGTAGGCAGACGAGCATACGGCCCAACTGATGGTGAGTGGTTACTGTCGCCCATGGACTTTAGCAATGCCAGGGGCAGAGCCAAGCCGCTGTCTACCGTTCAATACTCTCCAAGAGCCTCGTTTGAAGAAGGACTTGTCATAGCGCTCGGGAAATACTGTGAAGGGGAGCTCATTCCAAAATCAGATGGTACGTGGCAAAAAAGATCTCTGGAAATGCACTGTGGATGAACGCAGTGGCTCCAGGTAGTATGGATGAATTCTACTCCGGTGGCGGGCGGTGCGATGGTAAAAACGAGATAATGGTACAAGCAATTCCTCAGAGCACACGGCATGGAACATACGGTACCAAAATACAGAGTGAACCGAAGTCCATCCGCAGACCCAGAGATTCCAAACGATCCGTGAAAATGTATGTGAGTAACTATATTTAGATGACTCAGAGTCGCACTAATTAGTGCTTCTGGCTATTGGGTGTTTTATACGGATTTCTATAATCACATAACATTAGGTAATATAAAAACTACATAAATGTGAACTTCTGATACTCTCAATTTTATTTATTTATTGCCATTGTAGGCAGATGAGTATACGGTAGGTGGTTACCGTCACTCGCGGTCTTCAGTAATGTCGGGAGCACAGTCAAACCGCTGCCTACCGCTGAGTATTTCTTACTGGTAGTAGGACCTCTTGTGAGTCCGCACAGGTAGATACCACCAACCTGCCTATTTCTGCCGTGAAGCAGTACTGCGTTTCGGCTTGAAGGGTGGGACAGCCGTTGTAACTGTGTACTGAGACCTTAGAATTTATATCTCAAGGTGGGTGGCGTATTTACGTTGTAGATGTCTATGGACTCCAGTAAAAACTTAACACCAGGTGGGCTGTGAGCTCGTCCACCCGTAAAAGCAATAAATAAATAAAAATTATCCGTAAACCTCGTTTGAAGAAACTTATAACATAGTATAGCTTCTATGACGTGTCCTTCTTCAGGTAATATGATTCGACGCGTATCTGTCTTTATTACGTCTGTCTTATTTCAATACACATTTGAAACACTAAAATAATATTATGATATGTTAACACTATGAAAAGTCTTACCGGTGTTGTAAAAATCATTTCAAATAAGATAGAAATATAATTTTTAGACTATAAAAAGTCTACTAGCAGCCAAGAGTCCACAAAGTGTTTTAGAACACAGGTGAATACACCTCATGAACTCTGTCTATGGAACACATTATCCATACGACTTGAAGCCCGTTCATAACTATTTCTGCCGCGAATAAATCATGGCTCCAGTTTAAGAGCTGATGCAAGCACTATCCTAAAAGGATTGAGGTTTTTTTGTGTCTCAGGTCATCCGTGTTTCAGTATCTTTTCGTAAAGTCGGGCGATTTCGTCTGTCTATATATAAAATACCTCCAATACGTGCCCTAAAAAAGAATTCACAGAGTGCTTTTTTGCATACCAAACTCACAAGTCGGCCATTCTTCTACATGTCCAATTACGCGCATTCCGTGAACATAGCAAAGTAAACAATGAATATAACAATTAAATTATAATCTCTCACCCAGATCAGTTCGTTCCCACGGCGAAGCCTTCGTTATGTCACTTGTCACAAGAAAATATCTTTTAATCACTTATTTAAACACTTTCAAAATGCTTGAGAAACAAAACAACGAAAACAAAAAAAAACTCTGAAATAGACAAATATTTTGGTTGGTTCAATCGTGTGTGATAATTTTTATTCAAGATATGTAATTTTGATTGCGTGTTACTGTTGAAACTGCGAAATTTGTGGGTTTACAAATAGTTTTGGGAAAAATGCATCTCTCTTTGCTCTGACTTTTGCTAGATAATAACAAAACGCTAATTTCTTGAAACGACTTGCAAGCAATTCTACGCGCCCCTACCAAATACCATCCCTCAAGCGTTAACAAGATTATGAAAGTATGATCAAGAATTTCGTTAGAAAATCAGTAAATAGAATTGAATTTGTGCATTTCTTTCACGCAAAAACATAACTGGAATTGTTTTTTTATGTTCAAAATCGTGGTAAAACTGTGGCTTGTCATTCTGACAGCCACCCACAAGTTCCCGCGTTGTATAACGTCAAAAAAACAAGAGTACGAACGTGCGACACGATGTTCGCACGTATATTGCACAATGTATTCATGTAATTAGTTGTTTCTTGGACAATATCATGAAAAAATATGTTTATATATTTGAAAATTGTATACGTTGTGAATTAGATGAAGCATTGTGCTCTTTAGATTTGAATTCTGCGATTAGAATGAGGTTGTATAAAGTCGGTCATGGCGCAAGATCAGAGGAGTTCTGATCAAATATTAATAGATTTGTTTGTTTATATAGATGTGCGTGTATGATTTTATATGAAATTGATATATGGTAAAGTTCATTAAAAAGAAAAATTGTTTAATTATACATTTAAAACGATATTATATGATTATAAAATTTGACTATATTGATTAGAATCGATTTTGTACCTAAACAGAAATTACAAGTATGCATAAACAAATCTTATAAGTGTTTGTATAAAATTACTAGAATCATCAATTACAACTAGCGCTCACGCAAAAAGTTTTTTTTTTGTTACTCAGAAAGAATTTTCTAACAATTAATCGAAAACACACACACAAATAATTCATACAAAGAATTACTGTAAATTTTATTATAAATTGTTTTTATTTATTTATTTATTCAATCTTTATTTTTTAATCACTGCAATGAAATATTTAAAAAAACGCTATAATAATTATACTATTCGCAACTTTTATTACATGTATTATTTAAAAAAAAAAAAATATAAATTAGTTGGTTAATATTTTCCTTTTTAAATACTCATGGCTTTATACTACATATATAAAGTTTATACTAATAATATCTTTGTTTAAAACTTTTTTAAACTTGTTAAAAATGTTTGTGAAGTAAAGCATTCTGAAAGTGAATAAAAAAGGGTTACCCGTTAATAAATGTAGATGGTACGTGCGAACTGTGGATGCGCGCGGACGATCGCTGCGCCGACGACGACTGGTGATGGCAGCGGATGGTCACCGTCCGACCTGCCGCAGGAGGGGAGACTCGACTATCACCGCACGCTCAAACTTTTACACTTTTAAATTCAGTCGCGACTGTATAGGGTGTGCTTTTATTGCTGGAGCTTTACGAAACTTAATATTTGTTTATTAGTTATTGTTTCAAATTAGCAAGCAAAAAGCTTAGAAATCGTCTTTCGTCAGTGTCGTCCATGATAATAACAGTAACACATTGCAACATCACGTTCGGTTTTTAATTTTGTTCTTACTAAACATTTTTTTTTCTTTTTCCTGCCTATACTGATATCCTTGAGAGGCTATTTCAGTTTCACGCTAACGTGTAGGTGAGCTCACGGGGCTCAAACCGGAGTGATGCTAACACTGACCCTAGCAAGAGCAGTGCTTCGCACTAGGAAAAGAGCCAACGTCCATTTCCGGCCCAGAAGTAGTAGCAGTAGAAAGAAGATTTTCTGGATAGTTCGGGGTGACCTTTTTTCCCACCTAAGCTGATAGCCTTGAGAGGCTATATCAGCGTCGCCTTAACTAGTAGGTGAGCTAACACGAATCCTAACAAAAGCCATGCTTCGCAGAATCTACCACCGGATCGCGACCCACTGAGAAGATCCAGCGAGAAACTCAGTGGGCTGTGTCTATAGGTTAATTCACTCGTCGAGCCCTTCGTCGCAAGCGATGGGTTCGACGAGGACGGTGACCTGTGGTTGTGGTACTAACTAATGTGAACCGATAATGGTATGTTTTTTTTACTGCTTAGATGGGTGGAAGAGCTCACAAACCACCTGATGTTAAGTGGTTACCAGAGCCCATAGACATTTTCAACGTAAATGCCGCCACCTACCTTGAGACATGAGTTGTAAAGTCGGCAGAAATAGTCAGAGTGGTGGTACCTACCCAAGCGGACTCACAAGACGTTCTACCACCACCACCAAATATTCATCTATAGAAGTTAAAATCAACTTTGGGTTGAAGTTTTGTAGTCTCCAACGAAAGTTTAAGCTTTAAGGTAGATAAGTTTAAAAGCTCACAAACAATCACGTTTATTCTTTCGCATGTTTGTATGTATTTTCGATTTGTAACTAAATTTGAAATTGAAAGAAATGTCATAATAATTTCAATACAATTCACAACTTCAGTATCTATATAAAAAAATTAGTAAATAAGCAACCAGATAAATATAGTCATCTAATTGATAATATTTGTTTATATATGTATATATTTATGATATGTATATATTTATGATATGTATATGTATATATTTATATATGTATTTATTTAAGTAGGAGTATTTGTATCTATAAATATTATGTATGTTACATATACACATATGTTTAAGTAATATCACCTTCACCCTACACCTACCAAGGTTGATCTCTGCACTCCCCTAAGGTAGACTGTTAGAGAATGCCTATGGCATTAATTCCGCCTTTATACTTTCTAGTATATGAAGTTATAAATAAATAAAAATAAATAAACAATCACCCTGTATATTAGAGTTCGATCCTAGAAGAGTCAAAAGAATACAAAATAATTTTTATTACATTCATAACTGTTATTTAAGTAACAAATTAAATACTTCAAGATTTCATTTGAACAATTCATTTTTACTCAACAGCGAAATAGACAAAAAAGGATTGTAGTTTTTANCTAGTATATGAAGTTATAAATAAATAAAAATAAATAAACAATCACCCTGTATATTAGAGTTCGATCCTAGAAGAGTCAAAAGAATACAAAATAATTTTTATTACATTCATAACTGTTATTTAAGTAACAAATTAAATACTTCAAGATTTCATTTGAACAATTCATTTTTACTCAACAGCGAAATAGACAAAAAAGGATTATAGTTTTTACATGTGAGCAGGAAGCTTGAACGTCTCAGAGAATTTGGGATATTTTTTTATTGCTTAGATGGTTGGACGAGCTCACAGCCCACCTGGTGTAAGTGATTACTGGAACCCGTAGACATCTACAACGTAAATGCGCCACCCAGCTTGAGATATAAGTTCTAAGGTCTCAGTATAGTTACAACGGCTGCCCCACTCTTCAAACCGAAGTATATTACTGCTTCACGGCAGAAATAGGCGGGGTGGTGGTACCTACCCGCGCGGACTCACAAGAGGTCGTACCACCAGTCTAAAATGAATGAGTATCATCAACATAGAAATCAAGTGGTAATTGGAGCTCATGAACATCAATACGTTAATGACACTTTGTGACATGAGGGGGATCTGGAGACGAAGTCATACCATATTTCGGCTGACACAGATGCTCACGGATCGTTGCTGTTCCTTTCATCACCTGCACAGCAAGAAAGCAGACAACGATGGGGTATCACCGTTGCGGTTACCCCGAAGAATCAACGAAGCATACGATTGCAACCTGCTCTGCTTCTAAGCTGCTTCTCTCTAGATCGAACCTCTACTCTAGAGACCACACTAGTAAAAGAGCTAACGTTCATTTTCGGCAAAGAAGTAGTAGCAGTAGAAAGAAGCTTTTCTGGAAAGGTCGGGGTGACCATAGCGATTTATTTCGCGCAGTGTTGATATAACAGATTAACCGGTTGATGGTATATGAACGGCAGTGGATGACAGTCTGGTTCTGGTCCCGCGAGGCATCTCGGAATAATATCTGGACTGCCTAGGCCTGAATTACCACCGACCAAGCAGGGTGACATTAGTTCACATCGCTGTCAGTCAGGCTTGCAGTTTTGATCGCAGTCGCCTCATCTATCTCTCCGGAATTGCTTAAAGAATCCCTTCAAATCAATTGGTGCAAGAATATCCGGCGCGTAATGGCAAAGGAAAAAATAGTTGGACTCTCATCAATCGCAATATGAATATTGCGTCAAATATAGACAAGGTGGTAACTGCCTTTCTCAGGGTAAAGAAAGCCATACCACCAGCGGAATTTATTTGGTAGAACAAAAATACCTTGACTGTGATATACGTATTCAGAGAGAGATGACGTAGGCTGTCAAAACTTAGCCCTGGCCAGAGAATATTACAAATCGAACTTTCGTCAGCAAATGTTTAGAGACTTTATTAAATTGTAAATAACGTAATCATTTTTACAGCTGTTAATAGATATTGTGTGAATGACATATATGACCAAAGTTTGTTCGTTCTGTGTCGAAAATTAACTATTATAAATATACTAGCTGACCCGGCAAACATTGTTTTGCCATATATAAGATTTCTAGTGTAGAAAAAAAAACTAACTTATTGTAAGTGTGTAAGGATGTGGTACATGAGTGAAAGAGGTATGTAGTGCTGTGAACGATGAGGGAATATATAATAAAAATAACAAAACCTCATTCAACCACGACGCATTATAACAAAAAAAAAAACCAAATAAAAAAAAATAAGTTAGGGGTGGACAACCCTAATCACTTAGGGGTATGAAAAATAGATAGTAGCCGATTCTCAGGCTTACNGTGTGTAAGGATGTGGTACATGAGTGAAAGAGGTATGTAGTGCTGTGAACGATGAGGGAATATATAATAAAAATAACAAAACCTCATTCAACCACGACGCATTATAACAAAAAAAAAAACCAAATAAAAAAAAATAAGTTAGGGGTGGACAACCCTAATCACTTAGGGGTATGAAAAATAGATAGTAGCCGATTCTCAGGCTTACTGAATATGCATAAAAAAAATTCATGAGAATCGGTCAAGCGGTTTCGGAGGAGTATGGGAACGAACATTGTGACACGAGAATTTTATGTATTAGATTTTTTTTGCATTGATTGTGAAATTTGCTCCCAGTCCGTCAGTCAGGTCGATGTGCTATATTTATTGCAGGCAGACTTGTACAATCATATGCCCAAACCACTCTATATCATTATATAGGTAATAAGCATAAGGCCACAAGTATTTATGTCAAGGTTGACTAACTATTGATTTTCGGAAGCTATTTCTGTAATTATGGTTATAATGCAGTCGAGATAAGTTACTGCCCTGCTTGGATAAATCTCACTTATTGTTACTGAGTGATTCGTTTATCATATTCATCAGGATCAAAACACGAGTGATGTGCGTTTTTATAGTTACTTTGATCCATTGAATAATTGTGGACATATCTAATGATCTTAAATTTCACTGTAAGCAAATGAAATTATATAAAATTCGACAGAATAATTACTGCAAGGTTAAATGTTCAAATTATAATAATATTCAAATTATAATATGGGACCGATCTATTATCACGGATAGGTATATTGTTGCCAACAAACATGATATTGTGATAATAGATCGATCTGCGCGTCGAGCAGTGTTGGTTGCTGTCACCATTCCTCATGACGAGAACCTCGTAAAGGCAGAAAAGGACAAAATCATAAAATATTTAGAGCTGGCCCACGAGACTACCGCCATGTGGCATGTTGATTCAACCATCATTGTTCCAATAGTTGTATCGGTACACGGCTTGATAGCGAAAAGCTTCGATCAACATCTTAAGAAACTTTCGTTATCCAGCTGGGTTAAGGGTCTAATACAGAAAGCAGTTATCCTCGATACTGCACGCATTGTGAGGAGGTTTCTCACTCTGGAGTCCTAACCACTGGTGGCTTGTGTCGTAGACACCACCATCAGCGGTAATCTATTTTTATATAGTGTTTTTAAAAAATTGTATTTTTAATATCTTTTAAAAAACATATTATGTAATTAATAAGATTTTAAATAAATATAAATAATAATAATAATTATTATTTATTTATTTCTCTCTTAAAGGTATAGTACAAATACAAATGGAAAATCAACCTTATAATTAATTTTGTAAGCCTTTGAAAGAGCTGAAGTCTTTACTAGGTTCAAAGACCTGTATTACTGATCTCCAGGCTCCCTCCTTCTTAAGATAGATTAGGTTAGTTTAAGTCGTGAACAGATGCTGCGGACTAGTGTTGAGAGATCATTAGGTGTTATCATTTAAGGTCATTATGCGTGTGTGTGTGTGTGTGTGTGTG